AGTTGCTTCTAAGCAACGTGGCGCGACCATGAGCGACATCTAGTTTCTTCATGGTGCGATCTCGTTTGCTTTGGGCGACATCTAGTCGACCCACGACAGCTTTTGCAAACGACGTCAGCAGTTTATTTTTAATTGAAATAACCCACGGAAAGAAGCGCGGTCATCATTACAAAAATACAAGACCGAGGAATACGAAAATGATGCCAACATTTATTTTAAAAATAATATTAGCAAAAAAGGAATTGAATTTATCCCATAAAATACAACGCGAAGGTACAGTATTTGAAAACGATGTCAAAATTTCATTCTTTAAATTAAATTTAGCCAGCGGAAGCATTATATTCATCATTGTAAAAACATAAACCCGCAACTTTCGAAAACAAGACCAGAAATGTTTTTAAAGAGAATTAGTCAACGAAAGAATTGCATTTATCCCTTGAAAAAATAACCCGAAGGTTTTCGAAAACGATATCAGACGTTTATTTCTTTGAATTATTTTCATTCCTTTAAAAAATGCGAATAATACGGTAGTGCTTCGACAACACTCTTCTGCACAGAAATTATTAGATGGCAGACGATTTATCTTAGACTGGTTAAATTGACAACTATCGTATCCAGACTCAAGTCACTCGTACATTATTTCTTCAGCGACTCTCGCGACATCTGCCCAACCTTCCGAGAAGTACAGAAAGACGTTTCTACACAGTGAAGTACAGTACAGTACTTTGGAAAACCTGCACTTATTTTGTGCTTGGAGGTAAACTAACTACCGTTGCCTAAGCAAGCTTAGTCTTGAGTTTCAAGGGCTGCACCTAGGCTCAGAGAAGTTCGATAACCGTGCAGAGTGTTAGCAGCGGTGTCAACGACAATACAAAGCTTTCGCCAGGGCTTCTCTGCTCGTTCGGGCCTGCAATAAAATGTTTAAAAAAAAAACAGACACATAAACATCAACAATTATCTCAAGTGTACCCAAATATTTGCCAACGGTCTTTGGATTATTTGTTGTTTTCTTCTTCTCTCTACTGATTGTCCGTCATTAAAATTGACCTTCACGTCATCGCATCCAAGAGGCGGCCAAAAAAAAAGCAACAATACGCCAGTGTAATCACGCCATCGAATTCTTCGCGAGATAGTCCAAGTATTTATATAGCCTAGTGCCGTAACTTTTGCAGCCTTTTGACGATGTTTTTTGACGTGCTAAAAAACAAAGTTATATTGGGCTTGGACAGCAAGCAAGGAGCTGAACTAACTGTGAATCTGTTAGTATTTTTTTAATAGAGGCCGAAAATATACGAGGAGATCACGAATGCCGGCTTGATCCGAAGTCTGAAAACGGATCAAACTTCGAAGATTATTTATTTTTTTAGTTGCCCACACAAAACCCAGGTTTTAATATGTCCAGTAATCAAACCATATACATTACATACAATACTTCAGAGCGGTAATGATGATCTTACAGAGCTGTCGAAACAAACTGTCTTGAGAAAAATGCTCAAAAATTGTTCTTACTTTAAAACTGAATTGTTCAAGAAAACATGTATTTATTGTCAAATAATTTAAATCCTTGACCCTCAATAACTGCAAAGTTTAAAAGTTATCGAAGCAATTATCGCTAGGGATAGTTCAAAAGTTTTCGGTTCTTTAAAATGGAATTCTTCTAGGAACCATCTGTTCATTTTGTAATAATTTCAACACTACACCTGTTAATTACTGCACATTTTCGAAAAAGAAAAACTTTCCCATCAGTGCCATTGAAAAATAACTTCAAATTTTTTTCTAACGTGATTAAATCTGGGGCAAAGTTATTGTTTCTCAGAAAATTTTGGATCAGATGAAATATTAGTTGGCCCTTCGGATTGGCTAAAACTGCGTCGATTAAAAGAAACACTGTGAAAGTGTGACACCTAGAATATTATTTTCTCGATAGCGACGTACATTATGGAAATATTCAAGCGTGGTTCCATTCCAACATGGGTGAGGAATATTTGAAACAAACGCCCAGCTATTATTACATGAAGCTCTTGAAAATCACGCCATATCCAATAATAAGCCCGGAGAAACCAAAAAAAAAAAGAAGAGATAACACGAAATTTGGGAAGCCACTCTTGTAAATTTACTTCTACCCAGTTTTTTTTTTNTCGATCATCAACTGACATTTTACTAATTTTAGGACTGCTTCAACATGCTGCATAAATAAAACAAAAAATGCGTAGATCGGGATTTTTTCGATCAATATGAACAGGGTTTAGCTTGCATTACGAAATTTGGGATTGAGACGGCGCTTAATTTGAAATACAATTCAGTGTTCGACAGATTTTAAGATAGCCCTTTATTTCGAAAAAATCGAGCTGATCTTTTTTCGTCACAAGAACAGGATTCACTATTCGATACGTAGTGACCAATTATCGTGCTGTATTTTGACATAGAAAAATGAGGGGCAACAATATTTCAATATACTGTATTTAAAGATGAAATACAGAAAAGTACGAGGAACATACATTCGTATACTGTTCTGTACAGTACTTCGAAAAATGCCAGAAGAAAAACACAAAGTCGTGTTCGAACATAAAAATATAATCCCAAAATCACTACATGTACTGTACTTATTCATTAATTTTTTTTATTTAATACAAGAATGAATAAAACCCTTCCAATTTCAAAAAAATTCTGCATCCAAGGAACACCGAATTCCTTCAACAACAAAAAAAAACAAAAAGCCAGCACAAGAATTTATTGTTCAAAACGTGTTCCTCAACCCGGAACAACGATTAAAATTTTTTTCATCCAGTTCAGCCTCAACTCCTGAGAGTCTCTAGAAGTCTAGAGGAAATATGAAAGTTTAAATCAATCACGAAAAAAGAAAGAAGAAAAAAAAAATTCCCGGAAAGTAAAAAATCAGTAGAAAAACCAAGCTCACCCAGACAAGTTTTCCACGCCTCGAATCTGCGTCGGTCTTCGTTTTTATCTTGACTCACGTCTCCACAATTCAGGTATCGCAGATTATGCACCGAGTAACCCTCAAGGTTCAATTTGGCTGTAGAAGAAAAAAAATAAAAAAATACATTCAGCGAAACCAAAACCATTAACGTTTCTGCACTACATCGCATCTTGTAACAATCATTATTCGGCCTTGCTCAACGAAACTCAATCGTCCAACCCGAATCCGTTTTTTTTTTTACAATTACAGTAAAACCCATCGAACCCGGCGTCGCAGAGCCAATAAACAGCAGATTTAACGAGCTACGCATCGGAATTTCTCTTCAGCTTTCAACAACAATCCACTTCTTTCTTTTTGGTGGAACATGCAGACCGGAAGTAGAACTTCAAGGATCCAGCAAAAATCGAGTTAAGGAGTTATGGAGTCGGGGAACAGGCATTTTTGTGTCGGAAAAGGAAGTAAAAATTACAGAAAAAGTTTGTTTAAAGTTATTTCACAGGTTTCAACAGCTTTGTTGTAACAAGATGTTACTGTACTTTTATAGATTATAACATTTATTCATCATGTAACATCCCCTTAATATATGATACTATAGCTATTTTGACAAATTCATGGCACTTTAGTAAAAAATTCATCCAATTTTCAAAAGTGTCTAAGTGGTGTAACACCTGCAGCATAAATACATTAGTTTGTGCATCACCAGAACACCTTCTCTTCTTATGTCCAGCATTTCATACTGATGGAAACAAGCTTAAGAAAGATTTACAAGTCCTAGAATTCAATGAAGAGAACCTTTCTGAAATCTTAAAGGATCAAGATAAACTTTTGCATTTATATGATTTCTCATCAAAGATTCTCTCTAATTCGTTCATTCAACTAAACCTCATTTGGAAACAAGCTGAAGACCTTGTGCTTTAAATGAATTTTTACATATATTTTGTTTCCAATGTCAGGGAATGAATGGGTGTATGCATACATGTCAGATGTCCAGTTGTATTTCATTGATTGTATTTTCTTTTATTTTTCTTATAAATTTGTGCTTTCCTGATCTGAAGTGATTAAATGTCATTGAGTGGATTTGGGTTGGGTGGGAAGGGGGTTTGGTTGTGGAAATCTTAATTGAACTTTGTGAACACTGAAAAGCAGCAAATGAAGTGTTCTGTTCATTCATTCATTCACATTTATTCCTATGATACCGTCAAATCTCTCCAGTTGAATATCAAGCAAACAGAGAAAAATTCAAGTCAAGGAGGTTCTGAGTCAGGGAAATGAGTATTTTTGTTGTGGGAAACATGGAAGAATTGCAATAAAATTGTGATATTCCGAGACTTATATTGCTTCTTAAATGAGTTGAAATTATGCTGAACTTGAAGGCAAGGGAAAATTTGACCGATTAGTTTCTTACTCCCTTTCGACTTCTTAAATTTACATCTTTATTGGTTATTTTCTCTTTCCTGGTCAATAAAATAGGACAATAGCTAAAAGGCCTCCAGAAAACTTATGTTATGGTCGTTTGAGGGGAGAAACCTTATAGTGGAGAGATTTTAAACGCAGTGTTTCCAAGGGAATTCACACAAGGACTTGAAAATTCATCTTGCGGAGGTTTGACTCATCAGGGTTCAATTGTAATTCAAGTTCAACGAAAAACTCAAACCAGGAAACGCACAGACATAAAATCCGAGTTCAGTTGAAGTACCGTCGACTCCGTCACACAATATATTGTATCGAGTTACAGTTACAACTTCGCCGTCCAAAGTAACAATCAATTTGCCAGGAAAAACCTTGAAAAATTAATGTACTGTACCTCGTTCGTCTGGCGTCAGTCCGGCGAGCATTTGGTAAAATATGTGGTAATTCTTCTCCTTGTGTAACGGACGAACGACTCGGGTTTGGTCCAAGAAGTAACAGTGAATCTTCGTGCGGTAAAGAGCTCCATCCGAGACCTGAACTTCAATAAAATGGCCCTGGAAGGAAAAAATGAGTTGAAATGTTGTCATCAATAAAACGTCACACATAAAAAAATTTCAGGTTTTCATTTTAAAGTGCCAAGGAAAAAGTAATATCAGAAAGATTTGTAAAGTGCGCGTGAAACTGCGATGAGACAGCTGACCTTATGACGCCCACCCGATATTTTGAAACAGTGGGACCCCGAGATGCGGACGTAATTGGTGCATCAAGAGTGTCCCTAAGTCTAAATGTCCCTAAGTTGAGACTCATTTTCCCTTAGACTTGCATTATATAATTTTCAATTGGTGTTTTATGTACAAAATACTCACCATAATTCCATAAAAATAAAAATTGTCTCCCAATTTAAACTAATTCCAATCGATATATTTCAACACAATATGGGCATTTGGTGAATTTAATACTGATACCTCTGTACAGTAAGAAATGCTGGCATTCTCTGTTTAAAAAAATATTTAAGTGAAAAAGAAAGAAGGAAATCCCTCTCTGCTGGAGGTATTTTTTTTTAATTAGCAAAATGGATGGTAAATTGGTGAGAGAAATGTCAAAGAACTTTTCTTACAAGTTAAAATCCCAACCTTTATAGACAAAGAACATATTTGGCCTGAAATTTATTCGCAATTTTATAACAAAATGTCCCTATGTTGAGTCACTGTCCTCATGTCGGGTCATTTTTATTAATTTTTATGATAAATAAGTGTCTCTATGTCGAATTGTCCGCAGTTTAAGGTGTCCGCATGTGGGGGTCTCATTGTATTTCAAACGATGTCTAGGAAGTCTACAAAAAATTATTTATATTCTCACATAATATTAGGTCTGGAATATGATCGTTTTCGAAAATGTAGGGCCCAACATTTAAAAATTCTGGCCTCGAATTTGGAAATTTTGGGCAAAAGTCGAGAAATTCTTCAGAAACATACGTATATTCCCTCAGAGACACCTTCCTATAACAATTATTTTCACCTTTTCCAAGCAACACTTCCTCAGGCCAAAATATTTTTGGGAATCGAATTGAATTTGATTTGATTTGTATTTATTATTATGCCCAGGATTGGATAACACTGGATTTTCTTAATTATTCAGTTTGTTGCCCAGAGAATGCTGTGAAGAAAACCCAGCAAAGGTTTTTCCTCCTGCTGGTTCAATATAAAACTTCTTACGGCCAAATTCATCTGCCAATCGGAGGCAGGGAAAGTAAAACATAACAGGTTGTTCTAATCTTCAATTTTTATACACAATAAGCAGTCATCTCAGTACTTCACATTTTGATGGGAATCTCTTGAATACTTTTTATTCTTGTCCATCAAGTTCTACTTTCTCTCGATTTATTACTGTGTTTGTATAGTTGGACACAAATTCATTTTTATTCACTGTCTTGTGTTTTCAGTGTTCCTTGTGTGAATCATTTCTTTGACATCCAATCATTTGGAAAAATCTGGGATATGTATTCGAGTTGACCCTGTCAATACCTGTTCCTGCCTGCAAACTTGCTGATTGCCATTTTGTCATTTTTATTTCACTAGCTTCTGTTTCACTGATACAGTACAGTACCGAACACAGGTGGCACCAGAAGTGCGTTGTGCGTGCGAAAATACTGCTTTTGATAGTCACTCTATCATACATTAGTACTATTTTTACTCAAGTACTGTACCACGAACACATTTTTTTAGTCATTGAAGTGGAAAAACAGGGTGCAAGTGGTACTTGGAATCCATTTTACGGAAGCTGCCTTACATTGCAAGCAAATATTAACTCCTCCTGCTGACAGTGAAAATGGGGAAAGACAATTTATAAATGGGGGAAATGGAACCACACGAAAAAAGATTACACCATCTCAAAATTCTTGACTTGATTTTTGCAACAAAAAAAGGGGGGCACTTTTTTGGGTATATTTTTCAGAAATATTGGGGTTCATGCCTTACACAATGGCTTGTGGTACTCGAGGGAATACGGTAAGTCACTTTATGTAAGGCTAGGTATTTGGCGGTTTATTTACATTGAATAAAAACCATGCTATTCGTTCAGGCGACATCTGTCTGCTTTTTTTTTTTTTTTTTTTGAAGGCATGATTGGGCAAAAATATTCTTACGATGCGACTAGATTCCGAGTTTGAAGCGGTTTTGGCAGAGCCCAAAGACCGCAGGACGGTAAAAGCAGCTGCCAAATGCTTGAAGGCATCAGTTTCGGGTCCACCGCCAGCAATGTCAAATAAAATTAGTGTTGAAAATTGAAATTTTTAATTTTTTATATAATGGAATTCGTGTGAAGGACTTTTCGTCTTACAGACTCGCCCGTTGCACGAATCAAGTCCATTAGACGGGAGTTGACTGTAGTACACAATCTCGAAATTCTTGACTTGATTTTCGCAAAAAGGGGGGGGGGAGAATGTATAAATGGGGGGAAATGGAACCACACGAAAAAAAAATAACACAATCTCAAAATTCTTGACTTGCTTTTTGCGACAACAAAAAAAGGGGGGCACTTTTTTGGGTAATTTTTTTCAGAAATATTGGGGTTCATGCCTTACACAAGGGCTTGTGGTACTCGAGGGAATACGGTAAGTCACTTCATGTAAGGCTAGGTTTTTAACGGTTTATTTACATTGAATAAAAAAAAACCATGCTATTCGTCCAGGCGACATCTGTCTGCTATTTTTCCTTTTTTTTAGAAGGTATGATTGGACAAAAATAGAGAATGCTACGCTGATCTAAGGCTCAAACTTCGCCAAAACCGTCTCGGGTTTCTGGCGTCCTGCCATTTTCGTCGACGGTTTACGAACTTCCGTAGTCAAAGCCCAGGTGGCGGTCGTTACAGTTTAAACTGCCTCAGCAACACCATCGAAGTCGCTGTTTTTCCACTTCCACTCACACCTGCGCAAAAAATAAAAATAAAAATTCAAGAAAATTTCACATCGTCAAATTCAGCAAATTTTTAAATAGAAACCAAGAGATAGAAATTCCAAGGATACTGTGCCGAATCAAACGCCACGCTGGAAGCAGCAAACGGTTTTTTTGTTACTTTCAAATTTTCTTTTTCTTTCCACCCCGTTTTTCGAATTGAACTCCAGATTGTAAAACGCTTCTGACAAACGATTGCCCAGGAGAAACAGAAATTCCCTCAGGAGCAGGCGAAATAATAATAAGAAGAACAAAAAATGTGTGTTTAACAACCCTGACACGATTGTAGAGAATAAAACCCGACGTTTGGGGGGAAACTCGAACCCGGCAATTAACCGATCAGACAAGCGCCCCCAAGGTGCGGCTTGGAAAACTTGTCGGGGTCCCACCCGCCCCCCGGGGGGGTTCGTCAAGACACGATCCCATGGGCTTCTTCCCGAAGTTTAGTGCATCATTCACGACACTTGTCTCGCAGTACAAAACATTTCATTACCATCTTGAGCAGTTACTCCTTCAAAAGTAAGGCAACGTATCATCGAGCGATCAGCAGGAAATTATTCATTTCCATCAACGACTCACGCGAGAGAATGCTTGAAACATGATTTAAATATTTCCCACCGATGGCTGCTCATATGTAAAAGCAGATCTCTTCTCGGTCAAACTTTCGCTTTAAAAAATCCCACCTTTTCAAAAAGAGGGTAGATCGAAAAACAATGAACTTATGATTAATGTGATCTCAGTTCCCGAACTCGTGCTATTTTTTTTCTGTATACACTTGACGCATATAATTAGTGTGAGTGGCCCGAATATTTTATTAAACGCGTCTAACTTCGGTCATGTCATTTACTACGTTACGTTTTAGTTCAGTTTAAGTCGAAGGTAACTTTTTTTAAATTCAGGCGAACGATAAAGTGAACACCTATCTGAAATTCCAGTAAGTCATAGAGGGCTTTGAAATCAAAAGTAATGACACCAAAATACTGTAATCACATCGAACACTCAAAGCAGAATTAGCAGAAATAAATCTAAAAATAACGTTTCAAATTTCGAATCGCATAAATAAATGCGATTCAAATGCTTTCAATTAACATCAATGGAAATTTTCCTAGGAATTGACAGTTGAAAGGATTTAAAATTGATTTTAAAAAATACGAAATTAAGCAGAACTGTTCAAAATTCCAACTACAGTAAGAGCAATAAAATTACCAAACACTTTTCTTCGCTTCACAAAGGAATTCGTCGTTTGAAATGACGTCAGTCCTTTGAAACTTCCAGTAGATTAAAATCAAACGAAAAACTTTCCACTCCCAAATTCATTCCGGTAAATACGTACAGTACAGTACAGTAAAGTATTTGCACTTCAAGAATTGGACTGTTCCTAAAAGTATTTTCCAAAAACCGAATACATTAATTGACTGCCCGATTCTGAATGAATAACCACTAAATTAAGCGTATGCACGTCTCACTGATGGATTCATTCGCATGCATTTTTCGAAGTAATCCAGAAGAAATTCCAGCGTAATCCAGCGGATTTCAAAAGAATGAAAAAGACGAGAATGTTTAGCATCCCCGTTTCTCGTCATAAAAAAGAGTCTAACACTCATTTCGGAAACTAAAATCCCGGAAGTTCGGGATCAACTTCGGGAAGAAATCTTTCTCCATCATGAAACCAGACGAAAAACTAGCGAGAAAAAAGAGGAAGAAGAAGGTCTAACGTGCAGTAAAAACAACAGTGGGAAGAACCAGAAGGAAACAGAAAAAAATGGATAGAATTAAAAAAAAAAAAAAAACCAGCGTCCTGCATTTTTCGTTTTCCATCTCTTTCTACTTCTTCTTCTTCTTCTTCTCTCGCTTTCATAGCTGTCGGTCTTAATCGCCGGCGTGGGTCCGAGAGTCGTAAATTATTGGCAAGCGGGTTCGACGGCCCCTGGGTAAAAGTCCGACGGGTTCCCCTGCCATGTTCGTCCCCGGGGTCAATAAGTACCTAGACTTGTAAATGAATTCCCTTCCCCTCCCCTTTTTTCCCTCAGCATCCATCTCGCATGAAAACATGCATATAATGTACAGTACACCCATGCATCTTTATTAACTCTCTTCTCAACTGGCGTCTTCTGGACAAACTGACCAGACCCTTAATAATGTCACAAGAAGGGATGAACGGAATGTAAAGCATAATTAGGTAGAAGTCGGATAACGAACGTCAGCTTGCCTGACGGATTTTTCTTTGTACATTATCGATTAATGAGATTTAGCCTCGAACAGCGAACCCGACATTAGTTTATAAGATTAAACAGTGGGGCCCCGAGATGCGGACGTAGTTTGTGCTTGGGCCTCGTTCCTATGTCGAAACGTTCGCATGCCGGATCACGTTTTCTCAAAGACTTCAATGGAAACATATTTAATTGGCTCTCTTGTTC